TTGCGGGACCATTGCCTCGTACGCCCTCTGGAGGGAGGTACATCCTTATTGCCGTGGAGAACCTGACTGGCTGGCCAATTGCGAAGGCCACCGTCACCTCCACGGCAGAGGAGGTCCTGAAGTTCGTGAAAGAAGAGATAATCCACTGTTTTGGGTTACCACCTGTCGTTGTCTCGGACAACGCTACTTGTTTCACAGCGTCGGTCCTGAATGCCTTCATGGCACGAAACGGGATTAAGTGCAAGACAGTGCTCGCCTATGCGCCTATGTCGAACGGACGGGCACAGCGGATGGTCGGCACATTGAAGAGAGCAGTCCGTAAGATGATTCTCGATGCCTCGCCTGCAATTGTCGAGTGGGACGATGCTTTACGTCAAGTCCCATATGGATACCGTCGCAGGAGGATGGCGGTGGGATTGTCCCCGTTCGAGCTGCTTTATGGGGTGTTGCACAGGATGGCGCCTAGAGACCAAGAGCCTCTCTTCGGAGTCTCCGAGATCCGCCACCGGGAAATGGAACTCCTGCAAGCCAGGGCGATGCGAGCAACAAGAATAATCGGGCGCAGAGCTGCAACCACATTAACAGACGGTCGCGAAGCAACTTTCAATGTGGGCGACGAAGTGTTGATCGCGAAAGGGGATGCCCTCAGGCCCATGCAGAAATGGCCTATCGCCTTGTCGAAGTTCTATGGCCCATGCGGAGTTGCTCGTGCGCGCCATTCGCGGTACACCCTAGTGTCGCCGCATCAACGCTACTCGAGAAGGGAGATACATGCCAGAAGGCTGGTCCTCTACAAGAGGCAACCTTTGCACCTTCAGTGAGGCAAATGACTACGGATGTTTACGCTTTGAATTGAAATATAGTGAAATGCATATGAAGTGCTGATTACTTGCTACGAGTAGATAGAAAGTGGGTCATGGAGACAATGGGAATCATCAATGACCTCTAATGCTGAATGGAACTTCCCGAATCCCGAATCGCGGCTTTCCTATGTGCTCTGCGGCTGCTTACGCGTCCAATTCTGCTCCGTTTCTTCTTGGAAGGGGTGACGACGAGAACTTGGCGCAGTTCGGAGACGCCAACGAAGATCCCGTCCGCTCCAACGCATGCTTTGACCGCGCCGGCGCAGAACCGAAGCGGAAACCCCTCCATACAATCAAGTACAATGGAATGTATGGTCGAGACGCAGATGCTGTGCATTATGTGGGGCAAGCCTTCTAAAGTCGCGACATACACACCCGGGTCGAGCCTCAAGAGAAGTCCGAGAGATGGACTACGAAGACCAGACCCGCGGAGAGTGACTTCATCTTGATTAAGGTGTTTCTCAGCGCCATGAAAGTCTTGGATTCGACGCGACGGAGAGCCGGTCCTCTCCAAGAGGAGGCTGTTGCGGACTAAAAGATCGCAGTACTTGACGGCAAGGATCGGGGACCCTAGTAGTTGGAGACCGTTGCAGACGGTGGCGGAGATGCACATGTCACTATTATCTCGGAACTGCACGGTCCCGTGTGTGGAAACGCCGCGGTAGATTGGAGTCCGAGGATTGACCGCCCTGGAACGACCATGGATCATCTTCAGACCCTACCCTTTTGATCGGTGCAAAAACGGTCAATACTTAAGAAGCCACTAATTTGACCTCTCCCACCATACTGGAAAAGATCATCAACAATCTTGTGAGTTGTACTATTCCCGGTTCCGGAAATTGCTAGAGTGTAAAGCAAAATACGGTCAGGAAGGTGGGTTGCGGCTTCGACGCCATAGTACGTGTTGTCAACGTCGGGACAGATGGACTCAATATTCCACTAACCGTCTCCTATAAGACAGTACTGGTTTGTGTCCGACAACGACTCTGTGAGACCAAGACGCCATATCTCTTCGAGATATACCTCTTCACTTTGCTTGCGGTGGAGCAGGGCGGTAATATGATCTTCTAGAAGGCTTTTGAACTCGTGTTCTGTTGTGGCGTAACGCCGATGCCCGCTGGCCACCAAAATGTGGAATATGGAGCCCGTCTTGGAACCTTGGTTACACCTGTTCGAGATGAGAGCTCGAACATTAAATGGCCGCTGCTGGAGACGCGTGCAGCTTTCAAAGCAAGCTGCTTCTGCGGATGCGTACCTCCCATGCTCTTCGCCGCTGTGTGCTTGGTCCTCGCCATCGTATTACGCTATTAGGGGGGTCAAAGAGGGCACGCGGGGACTGAAACCCCACCTGCATGCCTCTCGATTTGGTTGGAAACAGGAGGTCTAAGCTACGACGAGGACCAAGGAGGCAACGCGGAAGAGCCGCGAGAGCTAAGCAGCGCAGGAAGCAGGAGGTCGGAAGAGCTAAAACGAGGCTGGGATGGAGCGAGAAAGGCGAACGGAGGGTGACGACAGATACCACAAGAAGGGAAGGGGGGTCCGAGCCCCAGGTCTGTGTTGATATAGGCTGGAGGGTGAAGAAAAATCAGAATCAAAGGCAAAATCTGAGTGGCCAGGGCCCGTGGCCCCGCCTAAGTGAGGGTTGTGTGACACGTGGTTGGGACCGGTGTAAGTAATTGGAAGTTTAAGTTAGTACTTGCAGACCGTGCGCTAAAAGAGTATAAATGCGGTGGTTTTCGGTCGTCCTGTACGGCCGAGGGCAGACACATCACAAAAAAACACACACGGGTAAGACACGGGACGACGTACCCCGTTTTCGCCCCAACAGAGCGTGATACGCTTGCAGCAATGCACGCCTTGCTTTTCTAAGATGCATACACGTGTCAGAAGTCGTAACAAGCGGTTTTTGACCTGCACTATTGGCGGTTTGCACTACTCACAACTGCACTATTGAGGATATACTCTCTGTAACTGTGTCTCCCTGAGCTTTTTTATCATTCAGGAAAAGAAGCAATTTTCGCAAATATTGAAATATTTTGGAGCCGCCTCGTCCAACACCCTTTGAACATCTCTTTTTCCCGCGGAACCTAAATTCCTCTGCCAACCGCGATTCCTCCTTCCTCTACCCTAGGGTACCTCTTCTCTCGTCCTCTCCCCACACACATCTCCTCACATTCTTCCCCTTCTCCACCGCCACCACCACCATGCGCAACAAGCCGCGCGCACCCCACAAGCGCACCCGCCAGACCCGCTTCCCTCCGACGTTTGCCTCTTTCCTCGACCACACCTATTTCTCCCACTCCGAGTTCCGCGATGTCCTCGCCAACTCCATGGGTCTCGCCTCGCTGCTCCCCACCTCCCCCCGCGCCGTCTGGAGCCGCGTCCGCGCCGCCATGTGCTGCGCATTCCCCACCGGCTTTGCACGCCCGCGCCGTCTATCCCACGCCTTTCTGGAGGCCGAGCGCCTGCAGCTGCGCCAGTTTCGCACGGACGCAAGATCCATACTCCGAGGGCGCCCGCTGAACGAGGCCATCGACAGCACCACGGCCGAAGTCCTGCCCAACGAATGGTGGGCCCGCTACCGATGCCCGCCACCCTCCCTGCCCCACTCGGGCACGCGCGTCCTGGTCCGCTCGCAGGGCTCCTTTCGCGACGCCTTCTTCGTCTCGCTGGATGCCGACGACCGCGTCAATGTCCGTTTCGACTCCGTGGAAAGAAGCATCCCCGACGTCGACGTCATGCTGCTGGCCGAAGTCGAACCCTCGCCCAGCCCCTTCCTTTTGTCTCCGCTGCCCGCGCTCACAAGCCCCGCGGGCTACTTGCTGTCGCCTGCGCGCCCCCTATCGACAAAGCAGTTCGAGCTCGAGCTGGACGTCGGCCAACTCGCCGTGGCCAGGCGCCTGCTCGACCGGAAGGAGGACCTGCTGCTCGAGCTCAAGAGCATCAATGACAGAGTAGAAAGCAGCAGTTCCGTGCCAACAGAGGCCGACAAGGAGAGGTATAGGGCTATACGTGCGGAGCTGGATGCTATCACGGCCGATGTGGCGCTACCAAGGATTCCGCCCAGCACGCCGGCGTCCGTGCTGCAATTTCAAGGGCACATGAGGGGCAGCGCGTCCGTGGATAGGCAGATGCCGTTTTTGGCAAGGAGTGGGCTCATTACTCCTTCACCGAGGGGGAGTGGCAAGACGAGGAGGAGGACGCCGTTGCCCAATCCGGTCGGTCTGCAGCCCTTGCCGGCGTTGATGCCGGAGCACCTAGCGAAGAATGTCGACTTCCGCAATGCGTATGGCGCCGCCTTGTTAGCTAAGGCATTGACGAGAGCCGCGTTAGCGAAACTGGCGCCGGACTCCAGGTTGAAGACAGCGCCCACGCATGTGCGCGCTGACGTCATGGAGTGCGTCAGTTCGTGCGTGGCAGTGCTGGTTAGGGCGAGGGCGACAAGGGATTTTAGGTGCATTGATGAGGTAGTTGAGGATATTAGAATCAGATTTCCGACTAACAGTGAGGCGTTGGAGGCAATCCATGAGGCTGCGCGCACTTTTGACAGCTCCTCGAGTGAAAGCTCGCGGTGAAAGGGAAGAACGAGAAGGAGGGAATGAGCATGTGATGGCAGCGACATTGCTGACGTAAGGTCAGTGCCATTGAACGGATGCTGCGATGGACTTTTGAATATATAAATAAGGTCCCTTGTTGTACTTTATTTTTCTTGAACATTCCCAAACCCTGCTGCACCCTATCTAGTGGGATAGACGAGTCGGACATGATCGGTGTCGTCACCTGCCGTTCACCTCTGAAACCGTCGACGAGGGTGCTGGTGATGAAAAGAATCGATTCTGCTGCTTCAACGTTGCCCGCGAAATTTGAAACTGCGGGTATGTTGATGTGAACTGCAACATGGTAGTGTGAATTTTCTCCTTCGCCACCTTGCCGACGGTTGCCTTTCTATTTTCGTCAACGACATACTCGATTTTTTCCACGCGATCAATTACGTCGTCCTCATCGCCGTCCGAGTTCCTTGCTGAATTTTCTGTATCGTCAGAGACTGGAACGCAATGCCAAGCAATCCACGCAATGGCCAGGCCGGCTGACCAGTCCCCGTTCCTCCCGCTGCAGCAAACAAGCGCCTGTTTTCTCCTATCTACGCAGCAGGCCCGCAAGCGCGAGAGACATGGCCCTAGAGCTCGTCCGAAAGCGTATTTGTATTCCAATTTCCCATTCTTGCCAGATAGTGGCACCCAGGTTATGTTTTGCCCTGTTCCACTGGGTTGGTCCTCGCACCCAGCCGTCTTCGCTTCTACCGGTGGTGGTGGTACGCCGAGAATAAGTACTGTATCGAAGTGCGCCCCTACGGCCGTAATAAACTTTTGCAAATCGGTCGTCGGGACTTTCCAGCACACTGCGACTTTTCCAGATTGGGATACCAATTGCTCCATGTTCGGACACTTCCATGCCTACAGAGGACGGGAGGTCCTGACGCAAAATCTTCTCAACCATAATTTCGAGCTTTGCTTCTACATCAGCCGCGCCTGCGGATGAGCTATCTCCAGTAGCAAGAGCAAGAAGTTCCTCTCTGAATGCCCAAAATGACTCTGGTGTCAAACCTTGACACCAACCCTCTTCGTCATCTCCGGCCCCTTGCACGTAAGCGAACCCTGCAGATCTCCTCGGGAACTTGACCCCGCATACCACTTCCTCTTGTACTCTTGCCTCAACGAAAGCCCGATTCCCTAGCGGAACTGCAGTGCTAGCAGACACGCAAACTATAGGCGTGAAGTCTAGTTGCTCTATTGGCACGCCGTGCTCCCAAATTGGCCTTCCTGGGGCCACCCACAGCGGACGCAAGGGCTTCATCCCGCGCTCCTTTGCCGTTGTAAAGCTGGGCACCAGGCGATGTAGTTGAGCCCCCGCATTGCGCCACGCTTGCAGCCAGTTTGGTAGCTGAGAAGCGATTTGTTCCCTTTCAGTACCTGGAACTGAAAGATGCAGATGCAGCGAAACACATTCGAAACATGCTTCATCCTCCACGTCGCCGTTCGCGCAAGTACACGGAATCAACCCTGCAACGCTATTTACAACGGCACACCAGATAGGGATGGTTTTGGTCAAGCTATCAGGCCACTTCTTCCCGCTGCGCGTAACATCGACGATGACGACGCCTCCTTTCTCCACAGCAGCAGCGAAGACGTGTGCGTTTGGCCTTCGCAGCGAGGACGACCATCGACCGTAGTGCCCGTCCGCGCTCTTGAAGGAGCATATCGAAGGCGACGGTTCGGTCTCCGGAGGGACATACCACGCCCCTGCGCGGGCGTTTCCAAAGAGGGGAAGGTTGCCGAGGCATGAGTGGAGGCGAAGCGCAGATAGGGCATCGTGCTCGATGGACAAGAGGCGCGAGGCTAGCCCGCGCGAGATGTCACGGAGCTCCTTGTGCAAGCGCGCTTCTTCAAATGCGCCGGATCCCAGAGCTCTCGGCGATTCGTTCAGTTTCACTTCTGACATGTGGCTCGCAAACTGAGATTCTGCACTGAGCGCAGCCGCCAGGATATGAAGACGTTGAAGGCGCACGACTATTCAAGGTGCGCGTGGATCAAGGAACCTGTGCGTAAGCTCTAACAACAGAGCAACGTGGCCCCTAAAAGAATCAAAAAGTCAGGTAGAATTTTCATGCACGGGTCCAGGCAAATTTCGCCAAACCGGGAGTGCGGTCGTGTTTCTTCAGCGAGAGATAAATTAGTCTTCTTCACTGTGGTGTGCAGGTCGCATGCTTGCTCATCCGTATCCTGTAAGAAGGATTCCTCTTTCGAAAAACCTCCCGTAGTGCAGCACTGTATATTGCGGATCATTCATCATGGGCCTTTCTTTCTTCATTTTGAATATATATTTACGTTTTCTTGATATCCAAGGCATAAAGAAGCTGTCTCCTGTTCACTCAGGACGGGGAAGAGTAAAAGCAAGATTATCATCACAGATGCCATGCTCTTGCCACAGAATGGAACATGTATTGTGTCGATGAGTGATTCTAGGTCTGCTGTCACGTGGATGCGAGATTAGAAAAGACTGACAGGCCAAACTGATGATATCTAGGTGAGATCATAGAATCACGATTGCTTCATGACTTTTCACAAGAAGATCAAAGGTTCAACTGAGAACATTAGTACGTAGTTGTCAGTTGCGATAGGGCACAAAAACGAAGAAGAACTAAAAGAAAAATGGAATGATGATGTTTTTTTTATTAAAAGTTCTTCTTCGTTTACCATCAAGAGAACACTCGTGATTCGATGCGTAAGAGCGATAGGAGATGGGGATCACAAGATGAGACGAAGACTACCGTATGGGTGATGGTCTCGGTGCTACAGGCGCAGGCGTTGTCGGTGCAGTTTTCTTTTGTGTTTACCGACTCTGTTGACGATTGAAGAAAAACAATAGAAAAGGGTAACAGTATCAAACACTGCAGCTTTCTCTAACTTTGCTTCAATAATTTCCAAAAAATAGCACCTAAAGACCAATCCCGTGCGTCCCTCCAGCCACCCTCATTCCTCCTTCCTACACCGACCTCACTATTTTCATATGACAACCGTCCCCACGCACGTTCCAGCATCCCTCTTCCGACATCTTCCTTGGCTCAGACCGCCAAGTGATTGTCACTCGACCTTGACCTTTGCAGAACCGCTTTCCTTCGCTTCCCTCCCCTCTCACCATTCCTTTGTAACCTACCGCACGATGTCGCGCTTCACCAAGACCGCTGTAGAGGTTGACGCGCTATCCACCGCGCTCACCGCCTATGTCACCTCCGCCCCTACTGCCCCAGTCCCTGCCCGCAAAGAAGCCCTTACCGCCCTGCAAGCCTCGCTCGCGAAACTAACCCCCGTTGTCGACAAGTTTGTCGCCAAAGCGGACGCTGGAGAGGCCGACCCGAACAAGCGTCTCTACGGCGCCGGCATGGTCACCAAGATCCGCGCTCTGGCCGGCAAGCTCAACGAGCTCGCCGCCCAAGTCGAAAAGGAGGACGAGGATTTCAAGCCGGTTTGGGGTGCTTTTGAGCAAGAAAAAGCCGCCGAGCAGGCCGAGCGCAAACGCCAGGAAGAGGCAGAGGAGGAGAGGAAGAGGGCTGAACAGCAGGAAAAAGAGAGGCAGGAAAGGGAGGCAGAGGCCGAGAGGCTTAGAAAGGAGGAAGAGGAAAGGAAGGCTAAGGAGGAGGCCGAGAGGATAGCCGCTGAGAAGAAGAGGCTGGCCGAGGAGGAAGCCGCTCGGGAGGAGGAAGAGCGGAAGAAAAAAGAAGAGGAAGCGAATGCCGAGGTTGAGGCGAAAGCATTGATGGAGAAGGAGGCTGCCGACAAGGCCAAGCGCGAAGCGGACGAGAAGGCCAAGGCGGACGCAGCTCGTGGAATCAATCTTTCGATCAAAACTGCTAAGAGCAAGACTTTGTCTCTGGCAGGCGTGCCTCCGGAATGCGATGTCGCTGAGTTAAAAAAGCGCATCGCCGATGAGCACGATATTCCTGCGCCGGCACAGAGGCTCATTTTCAGGGGACGCCTTCTTACGGATGGGAAGACCATCGACACTTACAAAATCGTCGACGGCTGCGCAGTGCATCTCGTCGAAAACACACGTGCAGCGAACGCGGCCAAGGCTGCTGTCCAAGCCCAGACGAAGCCCATTGTACCGCCAGGGACTGTTTGCCAGCTGAAAGATGGCAAGCCAGAGTTCAAGAGCATTCAACAAAATTGCGGACGATCAAGGCTTATAGTCGTGGACTGGTCAGCCCCCTGGTGCGGCCCATGTCGGATGATCGCCCCCGTATTCGCGAGGCTTGCTGTTCGCTTCCCGGACGTAACTTTTGTCAAAATTGACACTGAGCTTTCTGCCGCCAACTCAGAGCTAGCGTCTGAGAAAGGGATCTCATCGTATCCGACATTCCACTACTACATTGGAGCGAGCAACATTCATTCGTTTTCAGGAGCGAGCGGCACGCAGATTGAGAATGGGATTAGACAATGTCGAACAATGTTGGCATCGACAGCGAAAGATCAGACCTCTGACGTTGCATCCGGGTCCGCGTCTGGGTCTGCCTCTGGCCAAGACTTGACACGACGAGTTCTTACCGCACTCACGACTCTGAAGAATAACTGCTCTACGACAGATTTCATCGTGGCCGTCAGGACTCTGCTGACATTTGTCCGAAATGTTGTTGACCACCCTGGTGAAGAAAAATATCGCAAAGTTCGCACAGGGAACAACACTTTTCAAACTCGTCTCGCCTCAAAGACGGGGGGTGTGGATTGTATGTATGCTTTTGGATTTGAGGCCAGAGAGGAGAGCGGGGAAAATTATCTTTTGCTATCCGCTGAGGCTGCAAACAATCCTCAACTTCCTACGGTGCGGAGACAATTAGAACAAGCGCTTCAGGCTGTCGGCGGTTCGGAATCTGCCTCAAGACAAGCTAGCACTAATCGTGCAGCACCGGCAGGGGGTATGGGGGGGATGGGAGGGTTAGGGGGCACACCGCCCATGGGTGGAATGGGGGGAATGGGTGGAATGGGAGGAATGGGAGGAATGGGAGGAATGGGAACCCCTGCGGATGCCGCGTTGATGCAGGAAGTGATGGCTGATCCGAACTTTCAGCAACTTGCACAGGAGCTCGTCAACGACCAATCTCTCCTACCGTTGCTAATGCAAGCTCAAACTGCCATGCAAAACGGAGATCACGCGACTCTGCAAAATCTCATGGCAAATCCGAGCCTCGCAAGATTAACGCAGGCCATGCGCAATAGCCCCGCCATTGCAACCGCCATGCAACGACGTATGATGGCGGGCGGTATGCCGGGTATGCCTGGTGCAGGCGGAATACCTGGAATGGGGATGCCTGGAATGCCCGGCGGCCAGAACCCTACGGGCGGTGCGACTGGTGGTGCAAACCTAGCACAGAATGCACAAGGGCAGCAGAACCCACCTGCGGACGCACAGCCCCAATACCCGGGTGCCCCGACTACTGCAGAAGAGGAAGATCGATTACTGCAAGAAGCAATCAGGCTTTCTATGCAAGAGAGTGCGACTAGCAACAACCCTTCGCAAGAACCCAAGACGGATGATGATGCGGGGAACGAGAGCTAGAGATGTTGCACGTTCGCATCGGCCGTCATTTGCTTTGAGCTTAGATGTCGATCAGGGGGCACTCAGTGTGTTAAGAAGCGTTTCTTTTCCAAGTTTTGATTTTCACCCCTATGTGCCTAATTCATGGCTTGCTACAAGTATAGAATGCCCTCATGTAGTGCTCCGCAATTATGTTTCAAATCCATCGAAATCGTAGACTCGGGAAATGTGGAGAGCCGGGCGCTCTCAGATATACGCTGTCGTTCTTCGACTGCATGAGGAAAAAGTCGGAACGGGCTGTACATCTGAGATGATATTTGAGTTTATCGTTGGGGGTTTTGCAATGGTAATGCAAAAGTATGGTATAACGGGATCCACTTTACATAAAAGACGTCTTCGACGTTTCAGGTGATATTCTCAGACTTTTAAATCGGTTCTTCTTGTCCTAGTACAATTGCCATTGCCTGCCATTGCAAATTTAGTTGGAACGATGAACGATTCTTTGTCCTGTAACCACCGGAAATATTGCCGTAACAATTCAAATCGTACTGTACGGGAGTCTTCTCTTTCCGAAGTTTGCAATAAATGAATTCTGTGCGAAATCTAACAATGGCCCTCTGGGCACTCAAGATCATCTTCGCTTGACAAATGTCCTTCCAAGATCTCTCAAAAACCCAAATCGGCCTGCCTGAACGGATCCATCCTCTCTGTACCTAACCTTTGACGGCCCAGATGGGCTATAGTCGACCAGTTCTTGAAGAGTCTCATGAGGTAGTCGGTCAATATAGGATGCGTGCGGCGACTTGGCGCCCCCCGTAGCGCCGCTTGCTGTTAATTCTGAGATGTGCGAAGCTACAGCTGCTTTTGGCCTCGTAACAACTGCCATTTCCCTATTACTGTGCCTCAGTCTTTCAAACGATGGATCCATTGCGGAAGGAATTCTTTCTCGATCGATCTGCTTTCTCGAAGGCATCTCATCGCTTTCGAGATCAGGGGGGTTAAATTCTGTCGGCGTGAAAAAGGATATTTCATTTGGTTCGGCTGGCTGTTGCAGATTTGCCGGCATCTGTCCAGACTGAAAGTTCTTTCCCAAGCTTTTTGGCGGTACATCCAGGGAAAGAAACGGTGCCGAATTGAAATCTGCAGGGGATAATGTCCTTACTTGATCCACGTCGCGATGACGAAATCCGCTGGATCTTGCCACCTGCGGTGAAGTGACTGGAGAGCTATTTGGGATAGGATGGTGCTGAATTCTCTTAGTCTCTGCCTGGGCTTGAGCCTGAGCCTGAGCTTGTATCACAAAGGGCGGCAGGACGGGTTTCGGAGGCTTTGAATTATTCTTCCTTGAACGAAGCTCTTCTTCTGCATTGGCGCTATGTCTCTTGAGAGTGCTCGGGCGAGAGGTCCTTCGCGGAGGGGGTACCGCGGGCTTATCCGGAACAATTCTTGATAAGGCATTTGGAAAGATGAGTAACATGACCGTCAAGGGACCCTGAGCACCACCAGCAATAGCTGCATTTGCAACTTTCTTGGCACATACTCTGGAATTGTCCCCGCGCTTGAGTCCGACAGACACAATGTTGACGACAGTCTTATGTGAAAGAGTGTCCCATACCTCGGCCGTTGCCAACACGAAGAATTCGTCCCTCTCGCTGATCTTACGACAAAAGATGTCGGGGATGGGAATGACGATATCTTCGGTCATCTGTCGATTTGGAAACGTTACATGCTTGCGGCCTTTCAACTCCAAGTCCCCGATGGAACGGGTAACACGAAGCAAGTTGTTGACCTTGCCATCCTGAAAGAACCCACCTGCGTTTCTTACGCGAGCCACTTCTTCTGGATTGGACCCGTCATGCTCTTGCGTAATGGTCTGGATGCCGTCCATAGTGGCGAGGATGGCCCTCGAATTACCGATATTAACGATATACAAGTTACGATCCTTAAACAGGACGAAGAGCAGGGTGGTGCCATAGTAGGCCCTATCTAGAGCGGATTTGGCGAGCACGAAGGCCTCGATTGCATGGCAGCTGTTGCGGATGGCGCGCTCCGGGTCTTTTCGCAAGGCGGAGTCTTCTAGGAGGGTCGGGAGAAAGTTGCGGGCGCACAGCTCGGCCGCGGTGGGGCCGCCGTGCCCGGCGAAGAGCCCGTACGCCGCGATGAGCGGGGGGCCGCAGTGGACTTGTGACACGGTGCGTGTGTCGTCCGTGGCTTTGCGGTGCCTTGATAGCGTGCACACGCCGCTGTCCACGGGGTCGTCGTACAGAAATTCGCGGCGCAGCCTCTCCCTCCCGCGACTCATGCTTCAGTTCTTTGCAAGGGAGGGTTGAGAGGGGCAAGGTGTGGCGTGTTGAAGTGAAAAAAAGCGTGCTCACTGCAGAAGTTTGGGATCGACTTTCAAAGCTCAACGCGAAGCGCGTATGCGGTCTCTGAGCAAGTGCGGTTGGCATAAAGAGCGGCGACAAGATGTAGGAAGCAGGCGAAACATGGCGAGTTGCAGTGAGGCTGCGGGAACAAAGGGGTGTCCCAGAAAAAGGCGACGCAAACAAGGCTCAATGGATATAACGGACAGGGCAGGTGGGGCCGAGTAGGTGAAAGTGAGGTGGCCCGCTGGGCACAGGCGGTGCAACACCATGGTACAGTATGTTGACCGTCGGGACAGGGTGCGCAGGTCGGGCCTTTGGTCGGGGCGCAGAGGGTGGGAGCGTGGCGGGAAAATTTGGGATGGGGCTGGGGGGTTTCTCGCGCAGCGCGGTGCCACGTGCGGTGTGTCGTAGGCTTATGGGATGGCGGCTGTAATGGTGGGTGGAGGCGCAAGTGGAAACGCGGTGGTGGTGGATATATTTAGGTGTGCGGTTGGTGCCGAGAGCGGAGGGACGGGGGGGGGGGGGGGGGGGGGGGGGGGGGGGGGGGGGGAGATGGTGGTACAAGAAGAAGTGCTGGTGCAAGCGATCCACGTGGGTCCTCCCCAGGATGCGATAGCATCGTAATACTTTGTACAGGGTAGCTGAGTTGATCTGTCGCACCCTTCTACTTGCTTTTTTGCTTTTCATTCATCTTTTGTGCATATACGCCCTTTTGTTTCTTCTCCTCGTCCACTCGCTCTACACAAGCAACATCTGAGCCATCCTCTCCGATTTTCATTCATCTTGCGTACATGCACGCCATTTTGTTTCTTCTCCTCGTCTGCTCTCTGTACACAAGCAACACCTGACTCATCATCCTCTCCAATAGTATTTTATAGATGTACACGTGTCAACCTGCACACGTGTGCACACGTACACGTGTGGATACGTCAAGCTCTGTCCACGTGTCCACGTCGTACACGGGCCGAAGTGGATAATTAGCATTGCTGTTCCATGTCAAGCCTGATCCGCGTCGTCCCCGGCCCCAGTGATGCCCAGTGATGCCAGTTCCGAAGGCGAAGGCGTTCGCATCTGCCCTGCCGCCGCGCCCCCGACTACCGTCACCGTCTCCCATCGTCTCCACAAACTTTCGTCGCCATGACAAACAAACCCGCCACCTCCAACAAGCCGCCCGATTTCAAGTCCGTCAAGCCGACCGCCCGCAAGCGCGCCGCCCTAGCCCACGCCTCCGACGCCCGCGTGCGCCGCTCCTCGCAATACACCGCCTCGGCCACGCTGCTCCACACCGACGCCCCGGGCCATCTGCAACCGGAAACCCCCCTCGAGCGCACCTACAAGCTCCGCCAAACTTCCCTCCTCCCCAGCGTCGACCCCGCCACCGCCTCCAAGGCCTCCTTCACCCTCGACCTGTCCGCCTCGCGCCTCACCCCGTACCACACCGCCACCTACTCCCGCTCCGGCAACTCCCTGCTGCTCGCCAGCGCCAAGGGCCACGTCTCCGTCACCGCCTGGCGGGAAACCCGCCTGCGCACCGAGCTCTTCCTCAACGAAACCGTCCGCGCCGCCGCCTTCCTCCACTCGGACCACTACTTTGCCCTCGCCCAGCGCAACCACGCCTACATCTACGACTCCTCCGGCGCCCAGCTCCACGTCCTGCGCAACCACCGCGAGCCGGGCGTCCTCCGCTTCCTGCCGTACCACATGCTGCTCGCCTCCGCCTCCGCCCCGGAGGCCCCGCACAAGAAGCTCGTCTACACGGACACATCCACGGGCTCCACCGTGGCCGAGCTCGACTTTGGCGGCCGCCACCTCAAGCTCGGAGCCGCGCGCCACGCCGCGCTCAACCACGCCAACGCCGTCTTGCACATGGCCCACGCCGCCGGTGTCGTCAGCTTGTGGTCGCCCGCCAACCCGCGCCCACTCGCCCAGATCTTCGCCCACCCCGGAGGCGTGCGCCAGGTCGCCGTGGCCCCGGACGGCACCTGGATGGTCACCGCGGGCGCGGATTGCATCGTCAAGACCTGGGACTTGCGGACGTACAAGTGCGCGGCGACGTGGCGCGTCCCGGCCCAGACGACGGCCTTGGAGGTGTCGCAGAGGGGGTTGGTGGGACTTGCGTTTGGGGCAAAAGCGCAGGTGTGGATGGAGGGCAAGGACGGGTGGGGGAGGACGCCTTATATGTCGCAGCCGTACGCGGGGAAGAGGGTGACGGGGCTGGAGTTTTGTCCGTTTGAGGATTTGATGGCCGTTTGTTGGGAAACGGGGGTTGGGAAAATGGTGGTCCCTGGGGCTGGGGAGGCTGTGTTTGATTCGGGAGCTCCAAACCCGTATGACACTAAGAGGCAGACGAGGGAGAGAGAAGTGAGGGGTTTGTTGGATAAACTACCGATGGGGAGTATTGTCCTGGATACGAGTGATATAGGTGGTATTGAGAAAGACGGCAGGGCAAGGTTGAGGGAGATTAGAGATAGGGGGAGGGAGGCGAATGCGGAGAAGAGGAAGAAGAAGCTGGAGGTGAAGAGGGGAAAGGGGCGGAATAAAATCTCCAAGAGGCTGCGAAGGAGGCAGGCGAACGTGATTGATGAGAAGAGGTTGGCAATGCAGGACAAGCTGGAGCAGCAAAGGAAGACTCGCGAGGCGGCCAGGAAAGTGAAGGAGAAGAGAGATAGAGAGGCGCGGGAAGGCGTAGGGGAGGGAGGATTAAGCGTTAGACAGGTGCCAGAAGCGCTGAAAAGGTTCTTGCCAAAGAGTGAGAGATAGGGTTAGTTGGAGAACTGTCCTCAGGCATGAGATTCTGTGATGCCGATTGAAGTGCCAGTTTTCGACAAATCTGCGCCCTCTTCCCCAGGCGATAAACCCTTCAACCTTTCGAACTTTTTGAGTTGCCTCAACTTGGCAACAGCATTTCCACTTACTACCAACATGTACGCGTTCACTACACCGTCACCGGTGTCATCACCGATATCCACGCGAGTCTTTCACGCCCAGAAATCCCCAACTCCCTCGCCTTGCCCCATTCCCCTCACCGCGCGCCGAAGATCATCCATCCAGTGTGCTGCCCCCCTCTCGCGCCGCCACTTCATCAATTTCGCGGCTGCCGCGGCCGTCGCCGCCGCCTTCTCTCGTCCCACAGACCTGTTGGCGGCTGCCGCTCCTGTCGTGCTCGGTGACCGCGAGAGCGACGAGCAGTATGGCTACTCCTTCGCCACGCCCCCCGCCGGATGGACCCGGTCCACCGCCACGCTCTCGTCGTTCAGAACGGCCACCCTGTTCGTGTCCGACGGCGATAAGGACTCCAATATAAGTATGGTCGTCACACCCGTCCCGAGCGACTTTCAGAAGCTTACCTCGTTCGGGAGTATCGATAACGTTTTGGTATGTTGCAGTCGCAATCACACTCCCATGTCTCCGTGTTTATGGACAAGCGAAAGTACCTCTTTTTGCTAACTGCATCTACTCTCACGTGTCTCTGCACATTTTCTTCTCTGCGCGCAACGACCGCAGGACATCATGATCCCCACCGGGCGCAAAGACGTAGAGGGCAAAGTCATCTCGACGCGCACTGACACGGCGAAGAACGCCTACGTAGTCGAGTATACCATCACTTCTGGCGGAATCCCGCGCCATTTGCTCACCGTATTTTCGCTCCAACCGGGCCGATATCTGATCTCCCTCACCGGGCAGTCGCTGGAAGACAACTGGCGCACCCGGGAACCGGTCATCAAGGCCGTTGCAGACTCGTATAAACTGAAAGTGCTGGATTGAGGGTGAAGAAGAATGCCCCTGCTTGGACCGGAAAGGTATGGTTGCCTTGAGGACGTGCGGTGGCGGGCAATGTGGGGCATCTCATTTGAAATAAAGTCCGTTGAGTGGGTATATTGGCAGATGTTAAAAGTGCGTTAACCCGAGGCGTTTAGTAAACAAGTTTTGTTGGCGAACCCGTGCACATTGATCCCCCTGCACATTGATCCCCCTGCACAATGTTCTTAACATGGGGATATCGGTGCAACCGGACATCCTACACCATCCCCCAAGCCTGTCTGTTTTTCAGTCAATCTGGTGGCTTGGCACAGCTATGCGAAGCGAGCTATGATGTGAACAGCATGGTGCAGCACGTCACTCGCTTGCCATAAAAGCGGGGGCCGCGCACTCTGCTCTCAAGAACACGGTCGGATAATGAGCGTTGCCCCTAATCAATGAACACATTTATTCCTCTGCCACGCTTCTCCTAACTCGATGATGGACTACTACGCTAGCGCCATGTCGGCTCCTTGGACGAACCAGACCACCCACTGCGCTTTCCCCTCTATCGCACATCCCGCAGAACGCCTGCAGCCCCTGACGACCCTTCCCCTCTGCCCTTCATACCCCCTGCCGACTCGACTGTCTTTCTGTCCAAAGTTAAGACAAGAGCAAAGACCAGTCGTTGAAAAACATAACCCGCAGCAACATGGCTGGTATGTGGACACAAACAACATTATAAGCAGTGCCGCCCGTTCACCCAATTAACGAATGGTAAGAAGAAATGAGCCCTGCATAGTTGTGGTTGCGTCCATATCTTTGCCGGATAGTCGCTCATTTAACCAGATGGCTTGAGGAGGGAAACTAGTTTTTTTTTTTTTCGCGCAGGCGAGCAGAGTAGCTTTGCGGATGATGTAGGGCCCCCATTAGAAAAAGTGCCAAATGCGTTGAATCTCTGGTTGGGTGATCAGACCATTTCATCTGGGAAACAACCGACACATACCTTAGGAAGGCTCTCGGTCACAGACTCGCGACGTTCCGCCTATCACAAGACACTTTGTCGTGGAGAGATGTAGAAACAAACGCGTCCAACAAAACAAGACCGAGCGATGGTGACAATTTACACAGTGACTAGTAACAACAGGGCTTCCTCCCTAGTGAGTCTTGTGGCGCGAGTCAGCCGCCCACTTCTGCACCAACTGGTCCATCTCAATGCCGACCATAGGTGCGCCGAGGTTTTCCGACACCGCCGCGAGTACTTTGGGGTTGTCGTAGTTGGACACAGACTTGACGATGGCCTCGGCCCTCTTTTGGGGGTTTTCACTCTTGAAGATGCCGCTTCCTACAAACACGCCATCCATGCCCAGCTGCATCATGAGGGCAGCGTCCGCCGGAGTGGCAACTCCGCCGGCGGCAAACTGGACGACCGGGAGGCGCTTGAGCTCCTTTGTGCGACGGAGCAAGTCAAGCGGTGCGCCAATCTCCTTTGCGAAGGTATAAAGCTCGTCGTCATCCATAAGGGTGACTTTACGGATCTCGGCGGCGACCTGGCGGGCGTGACGCACGGCCTCAACGACGTTGCCCGTACCGGCCTCGCCCTTGGTGCGGATGAAGGCGGCACCCTCGGCGACCCTGCGCAGGGCCTCGCCGAGGTTGCGGCAGCCGCACACGAAGGGGACCTTGAATTTGTGCTTGTTGATGTGGTGCAAGTCGTCGGCCGGGGTGAGGACCTCGGACTCGTCGATGTAGTCGACGTTGATAGCCTCGAGGATCTGGGCCTCGACGAAGTGGCCGATGCGGGCCTTCGCCATGACCGGGATGGAGACGGCGTGCTGGATTTCGCGGATCATGCGCGGGTCGGACATGCGGGCGACCTCGCCGTTGTTCCGGATGTCGGCCGGGATGCGCTCCAGGGCCATGACGGCGCAGGCGCCCGCGGCCTCGGCCAGCTTGGCCTGCGCCGGGGTGACGACGTCCATGATGACGCCGCCCTTGAGC